TTGTAAAGTAGGTAAAATAGTGTGTGGGAATAGCTTCTGTACTGGCACATCAACCTTTGCTGTCTGGTGTCAAAAATAAGGAGCTCACATTTTAGCTTTTTTTGATTATCATATTATCATAAACAACATAGACATCTGATCAGGAGCATCAGGAGCATTTTATTTAAAAAGGCCATTGGATCCATCTGTTTTGCATCCTGACAGTTTAGGCCTTGGGCTGTTTTGTAAAAGTTGCATTCAGAAAACTGATTTGGAATTCCTTAGCTGTAGTACCAAAGCCATGACCGTGGGATGGAGTAAAAAGTTTGTTCAATCCCCTAACTCGTTCTAAAAGTAAAACTGATTTTCAGAGTGAGTAAAGCATTTAGGAAGGTGAAGTCCTACTGATTATTTTTGTATATTAGACTCCTGAGTGACCAAGTTAGTTTTTAAAATGGAACTAAAATTCCTAACAGGATTACATGGTGTTGGTAAATCCCATATAAAATGTTTCATGATTTAGAATTATAAGGACAAGAGAAAATGTTTGCGATGTTCTTGTGAGCTTCCTAAACAAAATGTTGCAATGCACATATACACCCTCAGTTGCCTCTGAGGTCTAATAACAGTGGAAAAGATATTTACAGACAGTTTAATAGCTAGCTCTGATTTCCACTGTTTAAAGTATTGGTGATACTCAATACAAATGAAGTGAGGATAACACTGGAGCAAAGTCCTACAGCAGAGAAGGAGAGTAGGACAAAGCATATAAGAAAAGTCTAGTTACAACAGACAAGAAGAAATCTTCCCCAAAGCCACACAAATTGTTGAGAGAGACTTGCTCTGTTAGACGTGGTTCTAGTACTCATTCACAGTTCTAACCACATTTTCTGATTGTGAAATGGGCTTCTTTATCAAGGGACAAAAATATTTTACTTCTCTAAAATTTGTATAAAATTGTATATTAATTGTATATTAAGAATAAACATCAGGCTAAAACAATCATATTTTACTATGTAGCTACTGACACTTTGAAGAATCTCATAGAAAATACTGCTTATTCTGTTTGTTACCCAGGCTATAATACAATTCTTCTAATAGATTCGCTAACATCTCTGCCTCCAAACTTGGCATTTAATAGTTGTCACAGCTTGCTACCAGTAACAGCTTCGCAGACCACAGAAGATACAATGCACTGTGATGAATGAGCTGCACAACCTGCAACAAAACCTGTTCTCTTGCTCCTACACAGCACTCTTAATTCAGAAAATCAGAACTCTTTCATATATGCACCCCACATCACAGCATTCAAAAGCATACAAGGATATGAAACAGTTTCCCTAAAGGATGTACAAAAAGGACCGGGTGCTGCAGCTTGAAAAGAGGTTAAAGGTATGCAAGACGGATTTATAAAACCAGCAACAGCACAGGCAAAACTCACAGGGAGTAGTTGTGCACTGTTCTCATAGCAGAAAAAGTAGTGGGGATTTAACAAGCAGATGCTGATGGAACAGGAAAACTGTTCCATGCACCATAACATTACACAGGACTTTGTGTGGGCAAAATATACAATTGGATCTGAAAAAGGGATTAAACACAATGATTGGAAACAGATCCATAAAAGACTATTAAACACAATGATCTGTGTGGTCCATACCAGGAGTTCCTAATCCAGTGATTGCCTGAATGGGAAAGGAGCTCAAAGAATCACTAAATATTTCCCCATTTTTTATGCTCTTGCCTTGGCCATTGGCAGAGACACTATACTGGACAAAAAATATTGTTCTAAACTAATATGGCAATATTAGTTGTTTATGTTAGCTTGTCTCTGTTTTTAGCAAGGCCTGTTCAGTTAAGACGTATTATTGCATAGGAAGTTAATGACAGTGAGAATTAAAATCTAAGGCCAAAGTGTAGAGCAATCCTCAATTCATACAGAGGTACTGAGTCAGTTTACTGCTAGGTAAGTTCAAGCTTTTCTTTAGGTCACAAGTCTTTCTTTAGGCTCCATTGCTCTGAGTCACTCTAGCTACACTGAAGGCAATTGCCCCATCTCCTTCCACCAAGGACACAGAGGCCTGGGAAGACAGTCTCCTGAACAGCCTCCCTTGCTGCACAATTATGAATGCAGAAAGTGAGATGCATTTGAGATCATCCTGTGTTAAATAAGGCAGCTGGATACTACATGCCTTCTAATTTACCACAGTGGTTCTCATGTTCTTATGCAGACTGATTTTGAAGTGGCATTTGCTCTAAAATCCTTGCCATGGCAGAGCATCAGCATTGTCACTGAATCACAGTGCCTGTCATTTGTAGATCTCCTCATAAGCACCTCCTAAAAAACCTTCCCTTTTCTACTTAGCTGATATTTATTAAAAATAAATCAGGCCTTTTAACTGATCCCAATGCTCTGATTATTAGCACAGTTCCATGAATGCAGATCTCAGAGTATGTCTTGGCACTTTCACACAGATGAGTATCAACGTGCTTTTCCTTTTCATGCGTTCCAGCTCTGCTTTCTTGCATGAGATTAAACAGGAGTAGGGTTACAGTACTATCAAAAGCAGGGCATGTGGAAACAATATTTTACCAGTAAAGGCAAATTTTAATGGAACTTTTTATGTTGTCTTATCAGCATTAAGAATATGGTCCACAATACCTGTGTTAGAAGAGCGTGAATATGTAGAACCTTAGAATGTTCATATAAAAAGATAAAATGGGGTAGAAAGCAATAAGTGGTCTCAAACTAGGGTGTCATTCATCAGTGCAGTGAAGAAGCAGAAAGATATGACATTTTAGCAAGTCTCCAGGTGATAATATTTATGTAGAGCTTAGCCCATAGAACTACAGTCCTGCCTCTCAAAATGTAGACAAGATCACTAACTGAGAAAGAGCATTCAAATTATTAAGCAGTAATAATGATGCTGCTTTGTTGGGTACCATTATCCCAAATCTTCAGACACAAAATTGAGGCTTCCTGAAGCATGCACATAAATGATGGGTTTGTATTTCTATATAGAATTTTGATTTTCCATTGCTGAACCCAGCATAGGTACATAAAAGACAAAGTAAGAATAAATATGGCATAGTGCTGCTGAATATGATCTGCCCTGAGTGAACTGGTGCATCTGATAATGTTTTTCAGTAGAAGGTGTTTATATTTATTTTGTGTTCTGGGGCCCTATTTTTCCACTCAATCTTATCAGCAAAATAAGATTTATTTTCTCCACCAGACAGTACCAAACCAGGTCTGGTTTGCTTTGGTTTGAGCAATAAGCCAATTGCTGCAACACCTATGACTTCAGGAAGGTTGTTTTGCACATGTGTATTAACTGCTTTTATTATTCACTGAAATTATGCACTGACCTACTTGAAGGACCACTTTATTTCATGGGATTGTCAAGTGAAATTACAAGAGGGTGCTGTTTTTTTTAATTCTTATCTTTGTCTGATTTTTGATGGCAAGTATCATCTGTCAATATCTAACAGCACGGTTTTTAACCACAATGCATTTCAGGACCCAAGTTCAATATTTACAAAATAAGTCGTCCTTTATCAGCATATATCACTGTTGCCAGCCCAAGGATTATGTTGCTATCTCATATATACAGACAGGTGAAGCAACCAGAAAAAATGATTGAGATAAGAGTGAAGGTAATCAGGGAAAAAGAAAACATAATTAAATTCTTTATGGGAAAGGTTCCAAAACACAGAGCAGAACACTAGCACCCATAGACCAGAAACACTAGCAGTGTTTCTACAGCAGAAACAGATATGATGTTTTTTGCCAATTGATTTGTGAGCAATGTATCAGGTTTATTAAAAACAAAGGAGTAATCATCTTATTAACAAGAGAGGAATCATCCTGTTGAGAAAGAAAAAGAACAGAACAGTGAGAGCACAGAGCATCCAGGTGGTGGGAAGCTTTGGAAACCTCATCAGTGAGCCAGTCAATGACATAAAGCCCAAAGTGAGGCCATGCAGGGTCTGTTTCATTAGACTGTTGAAGTGAAAAGATATATACTCTCTAAGCTGTGTAACAAATGAATATGAATTTAAATTCCAGTTTTAATTCTCCAAAATATTTTCAGAAAATTTAGCAAATGACTTCATGAACTTAAGGACTGGGCCCATAATAAAGTAATGGAACTTATTCCATTAGTTAGAAAGCAATTTACAGGATGTCCAGAAAAATAAGCCAGATTTCTGCCCCCTAAAGCTTTTTCTTACTTCCTCAGCAGAAATGAAAATTATCCCTTTTTGCAGTTCTTATGGAAAGCTGTTGCCTTGCATTTCTTGATAAAGCAAGATGGAGAGACCAATTCAGTACACGGTGGTTTTATAATGTATAATCTAGTTTAAATTGCACCATATCATAAGACATGAAAATCCATGGTTTTCCTCCTGTACAAAAAGTAGTCTAGATACAAGCCAGAGTGAAGACTCATTCTCTGAACAATAAGAGACTGTAGCTGGCACTGCTGAATGTACAACTTTCTACAGCAAGGTCATGACCAGGCTGGAAAATTCTGCTTCTATAAATTTTATTGACTTTCAGTTTCTGATAATACAAAGTGAAAGCACACTGAACTCTGGCATTGTGCCACAGGAGACTAATTCTGAGAGCCAAACCCTGCAGTTTGCTGAGTCACAGAAAACTTACAGTGACAAGTTTGTGTAAATGAAAGGCACCTTTTGTCAATGACAAATTTGTAATGTACTTTTGACCAGACTTCAGTTTATTTTCTGTCCCTCCCACAGGGGAATATAATCTGAATATAACTCAGAGAGAAAAATATTGCTTCTGCATGTAAAGCTATTTGAAAACCTTCCAGTTTGCCTGGCTCATAACCCTTCCTCAGTTTCCCTAGTGACTGTGTGGTAAGAGGACCAAAACAGCTCCAGGAGAAATATAATTTAATTCCACTGGTTCTTGTTCCACTGTTACAATCAGACACTGTCAGTATGCTTCAGTGAAATAAAGAAAATGTAGAATATAGATACTTTTTAAATACATTTTCTTTTTTGCTTGTAAGGCTTTGATTTCCTTATGACAGAGGGTGACCCAAATTATATTCTTCAGTAGGAACAGGTAAGTACTTGTATTCTTTTAGTATTCTTGTCATGAACTATTTTTCTTCCACAATGAACAGTGTATTTTCATCTGCCCCAGTTAAGCATGCAAAGAGCAATATATATTGACAGAATCCTTTGCTTTAAATATATTTTGGCACTTAGAGGCCACCCAGGCTGTCATTCAGCACTGGTCAAATTTTGCCCACAAAACCCACTTATGCCAATGCAAGAGTGAAACATATAAAATCATATATATTGTTGCCTTAGAGTTTTTGATTTTTTAATTTTTATAGATTTTTAAAGTAGCTGCATTATATCCCTCACCCTTTAGCACAGTAGTTTACACATTTACCCAACACTGTTTCCCATTCCCTATCACTCCCTCAAAATTCCATTAAGTCCAGTTGTTTAGTCTTCTTTTCAATGCAGATTTGTAAAAAGCACCTTAACGCCTGCCCCAAGGATTGTAAATAAGGACAACAGCCTTCAGACCCGGAACTTTGGAAGGCCTCCAAGGGCTGCACGTGCTTTGATGAAGAGGAAGATGATGAAAGAGGGGTCCCAAACTCCCCCAGACTCAATTCCCGAAGGGGTGTGCCAGGGTGCAGAATGGGGCAGAGCCAGGAGGTGGACGAACAGGGACTGGATGGACATCATTATAAAATTGTAACACCTGAGTCGAAACCGCACACACAACTGTTGTATTCCCGGAGCCCAGTGGCTCATTAAAGCTTTCTGCTTTCTTATCTTATCTTATACCCTAATTTGGCCCGGAGTCTCTTTTTCAGTGGTCTCTTAAGGCAATAATATCATTGAATGGTTTGGGTTTGAGGAGATCCTCAAGACTATCTAGTTCCACCCCATGCCACGGGCAGGAACACGGTCCACTAGACCAGGTTACTTAGAGCCCCATCCAACCTGGCCTTCAACATTTCCTGGGATGGGGCAGCCACAACATCTCTGAGCAACCTGTGCCAGTGACTCACCACCCTTACAGTAAAGAATTTCTTCCTAATATCTAATATAAATCTACTCTCTTTCAATTTAAAGCTGTTGTCCCTTGGCTTATCGCTCCATGTCCTTGTAAAAAGTCCCTCTTCATCTCTCCTCAGGAGCTGCTATAGCAGCTGGAAGGCTGCTATAGGTTCTCTCCAGAGCTCTCTCTTCTCCTGTTTTGAACAGCCAAAACTCTCTCAACTTGTCTCCATAGGAGAGGTGCTCCAACCTCTGATCAGCTTTGTGGCCCTCCTCTGGACTTGCTCCATCCTGTCCACATCCTTCTTATGTCGTGGGCCCTAGACCTGGATGCAACAGTCCCTCTGGATGACATCCCTTCCCTCCACTGTGTCAACTGCACCACTCAGCTTGGTGTCATCATCAAACTTTCCAAGGGTGCACTCAATCCAACTGTCCATGTCACTGACAAAGATGTAAACACTTGCAATACCAACCCTTGAGGAACACCACTTGACACTGGTGTTCAAACTCAAGAGCTGATTAAACTCAGTGTTGCTCATGTCTGGAAAGTACAACTGCTGCATGGACCTGTGCAGAGAAAAGTAGTGGGTGTTGATTATCAGGCCTTAAAACTCATTTTCCCTGGAGCTCTGTTCCCACAAACATTAGCTCAGCATAGTGAGGTTCTTCAATGCTTCACCTGACCCTCCACAAAGATGCAAAGTCAAAAAGGTTGTCTCCTTAAACTATCCCAGAAAAGCCATTCAAGCCATTTTTGTGCCATGTAGGCAATTTTGAAAAGAATATTAAAAGCCCAAGAAACTTTCTTTTCTCTGTATGAACACTGATGGTAAGTGGTCACATTTAATTTTTTTTCAAAATCATCTCTGCAGGACAAGTACAAATTAAAAATGTATTCTCATAGTACCAACTTCCAGAACATATTCATGGTTTCTGTACTATTCAAACAAGCAAAGAGTCTCAAGTCTTCAGTAGTCTTTGCTGAAAATTTTTTTTAAAGCCAGAATCTCATGTGCTGTATAAACCAAGCCTCTGGTTACATAATTGAGATAGTGGAGAAGCAGGACTTCATCACACAGATCTGAGAACACCTTCCTTCTCTCCCTGAGCATTATGCTCTTTGCAGTGCTTCACAGTAGTGTGGCTGATTTTGATAGTTCTTCTCCTTTACAAGTCCTTGAGGAATCAAGTGTTGTTCTTTGTCGATTCACCTACAAGTGACCACAGAGTGGCCTCTGACTGATTACGCTTTAAAAAAACAAATCTGTAGATTTGTGATTCCTTTGGAGCTTGTCCTTGGCAAGCTGGCTTTATGCTACTTAGCAAAGGCAAACATTTAACAGGCACCATCCCGCAGTCTATCAATAAAGCCTTACACTCCATGTGCATGATAAATCCTCCTTAACTTCTTCCTCAATTTTTACTTGTAATGATTAATGACAAAGCAAGTTAAGGCAGAGCTCCTTCACATGACATGCATGTGACATAATAGGAGACAATAATTTAATGCACAAATATCCACTCATCACAAGTGCAGTGACTCATTGACTTCCCAAAACATGATGAAATCTATCTAATAGATTCTAATGACACAAAACTACAGCAGGTTATAAACTGCTGCAGACTATACATATTGGGTTTTGATGCTTTTTCCTTATATTTCTGCACAACATTAGGGCAAAAGTAGAGAAAAGTACCTGCTTTCTGGTAAGAAAGTGAACTATCCCATGCCAGGGCTCACAAGCCCAGATGAACGTTGGTAGAGTCAGGAAAAGCATTTTATTCTAAGGTCCTCTTTACAAAAAATAATAAATTTATCTCAAATTGTCAATATTTTTACTCTATAGTTTGGAACATTGAGACACAAAAATAACAACTTGTCCAAAGTTCCTGAGCAAGTCTGTGGTAAAAGTGGAAACCTAGACCTTTTGACTTTCAGTTCTCTGATTCAGCCATGAGACCCTCCTTTGCCATGTAATCAGAGTGGTGTTTACAGAGTAAAGTCTACCATAACTTACACTTATAAAACACATGTATTTTACAACAGAATTTTACATGGTCTTTCCTTTTAATTTTAGATAACACTATTAGAAACAGCTATTGCCCACGGGTTGTGCAGCTCCATCACCAGATGCCAGCAGGCTGGACAGTTTCTCCAGGGACTGGGCAATAGTTAGCTGCATTTTTTTGCTTCCCCCCAATACCAGGCATTCAATTAACTCATCAGTAACCACTAGTCAGCCACCAACTTTGTTCTTTTTTTAAAGCTTTTATGAAAAAAAAACAAAGGACTTTGGAAAAACATAGTCAGAAGAAGCCCCATCTGGGACAGTACTTAAAATCGATTTCCAATTAAATTACAGCTGAACATGACAGGGAGGGTAGTAAGGAATGACGTCTCTATGACTGACTTATGTCTCTGCTGTTCTTTGAATTCAAGAGCATTGATTTTTTTTTTACTTTTACTTGGATTTGCTTCCAGTGTCCTGGGATTCCCTGTGGCCCAGAAGGATACAATGCTTGACATAAAGACAAATTGCTGAAAGGTCAGTGTGTTCAGTGTACATTGGTAGTATCTGTGCTGTTGTTATGTTTGCCAAGATCCAAGCAAATTCAAAGAAGAAAATTATATTTGAAGAGCATTTTACCTGAAATTTTTCAGCCTCCTGAAAAATACCCATAATTGCTAACTTTAAATTATACGTTTGTGCAGAGACACTTCACATGAGTTAAAACAGGCTTGCATCTGAGTTTTTCCACACTTGGTTTTGCAAACTCTAATTCTAAGCACAAGCCTAGAATAAGCTTCCCCTAACCTAGTGACACTAATCAGATCCACATGTACAAACATCACGGTAACACAAACTGGCACTGACACCCAGCATAGTCTGGCCAGCTCTGTATAACCAACTTGTCAGCAAGACTTACTGGCCCTAGTGAAGGCAAATCCCAGCTTGTGTTGCAACACTAAGACCGATCTTTTCCCTAGCCTTGCAATTAAGCACCAGAGCAAAAGGTGGCTCAGAAACAAAGTTTGGCATAATTTCTTAAGTCAATCTGAAACAAGTCATCACTTTAGCATTAATTCAACATATATCACAATATAACCTGTGTCCTTTAACACTGCCCCCAACTTGCCAGCCAAAACACAGGCCAGCAGTCCTCTTTCCCCTTGCAGACACTCTCCTTTCCCCTGGAGCTCTGTGAATTCAAGCCCCCAACTCGAGGTCCAGCCATTGCACCCCACTTCTTTTCCTCAAATATGGTTTTGCCCCATATCTTTTCTAGGCCAGATAGAAATTACAAGTAGGATTATGGTGGAGTTCAGGTAACTTTTTAGATTTGCATAAATCAGTTTTACTGAGTCTAACTCCTAACCTTCATCCCAGCCAAAGATAATCATAACCTAAAAACTGCTTTAGGATCCCAAAATAAACACAGCTCAGTGCTTTATGCCTGAACTCTGAAAAGCTTCTCCAGTAACCTGCTATGAATTCAAGTTTTGCTTTTTTTCTTGTATCACTGGAGGTCAAACCCTTTACCTACCATGTTACCCACCCTCCCATCTCGGAGCTCATCTCCCAGTGACAATGGCTTACACCAACTCTCAGTTTAGTTTAACAGGACCTGTTAGTTATTATATGACTTTATAAATTTACATAAACAAAACTCTAATTCCATGCAAAATATGTTTACTGTCAGAAGGACACATAACTCTAATTTGGAAGCAAATATAGAGCTATGAGTACCAGCCTTACATATCTGCCTATCTTGCAGAAAACTGTGTCTTTTATTCAGGCAGAAGCAGTGACAAGAGAACTTCAAAAATGTTAAAATGCTCAGAGCTTGACAAGAATTAGAGTTTTTCTTTGAATTTCTATGAAAATTAACATTTTTCTTGCAGTAGGGATACAGTAATTTTTTAGAGATGAGACAATGTCTGCTGTGCACATGTACTGTCTCATATTACTCTGGATGCCACATTTCCACTTACATTAAAGCATCAGAACACATTATTGACTAACTTAACAGTAATAATCAGAAAGGTTTTTATGTGGCAAGAGTATTATGATTTGATAACAAATTGCCTTTTGTTTTATTTTCCTTCTCTATCTAACAAGACTAAATTATATCTAAGAGCAATTCGTAATAGCTGCAAATGTAATCCATTACCAACAGCAGCAAGCCACATAATCAAATGAGGGAAAGAGGTGATACAGCCTCTGCCTGTCTTTGGAAATGAGAATCTGCATGTGTACACTTTCATACACACGAAGCCAAACCGCGTAGAAAAGGTTTAAATTAGTATAATCATCTCTGGATTTAAACTTGCTGGTCACACTCACTGTAACACCTCATCAGACTACCAGAAGTTAGCCTGGCAGAGAAGCCCCTCTTCACCTGGAGCACAAACTCACTCCCACGCAGAAGCACAGAGAGACACTGAGGAAGAGGCAGACACTAAGGGTTACACACGGGTGAACTCCAGGACACTTTTCACACCTTTCTGAACATGGGAGTTAGGGAGATTTCAGCTGGGAGCCCATCCTGAAAGGGACACCCTGACGTGCATCTTCAGTGAGCTCCTCACAGAAAAATGTGAGCTGGTGAGAGGCAAAGAGCAGAGAGCCTAAATCACCCAGGTTGTCAAAGATTGTAAGTGATACCTGCAGTTTAACCAGAAGCTCTCAGAGCAATGTGCAGGCAAGAGCCAGGCATGGGAACCCATCAGTCTGCAGTGCTCACAAAGCTGGTGACTCATCTGCTGAAGGAACATCACGGGGAT